AATTAATATTTATTATTTAATAAATTAAAATTAATTTATAAATAAATATTTTTAAATATTATAATTAATTATTTAAAAAATTATAAACTAACAGAGAATTTCACACCGCGCAAACCACAAGAAGCAGTGGCAGATATATGGTAAACTTCGTTGGAATAAGCATTGGCAACAAAACATTTAACATTTTTGCGACAACATCATCTTCACAGGGCACTATGATAGACTCCGGAACTATCATTACTCGCCTTCCGACACCAGTCTATGCACAATTCCGCTCTATTTTCAAAAACCTCATGTTGGAATACCTACCTGTTACTCCACCCAATGACGAGACTATCTTGGACACATGTTATGAGCTCAAGGGGTACAAATACAGCACTGTGAAAATCCCTGTGGTATTGCATTTTGAGAATTTAGACGCCCATTTGGACAGATCACAAGTTCTTTGGCAAGAAAATTCTTCGGTTTATTGCTTGGTTTTTGCAGGAAACAAAGATGATGACAATATGGTCATCATCGGTGACCACCAGCTGCAAAAGCTAAATGTTTTGTATGATATCCAGAGAAGTAAGGTGGGAATCGGGGCCGGTAACTGCGGCTGATGATGCCCGGAAATCATACCGGGACCTGATTAGAATAGAAGTTGCTTTTGCAGGACTTGGGTCAATTTCTGCTGTTTTTTTTTTTTTTTTAACCTATTTTCCTCTGTTTTTCCTGTTGAAGAAAGATTGGAACAATGATAAAATGAAGAAGTCCAATGCATCTTTTCTTTTTTATGATATTTAATAGAAATTCATTACATAACCATTATCAAAAACAAAAAAATAATAAATACCAATAAATAAATACATTACATTACCCTTATATCTAAGTTGATGGAAATGGAGGGGAGAGGAATAATTTCCCTCCATTCCCCTCTCCTTCCCTCTCTTTAAAATAAAAAAATAAGTAACTAAATTAAAATAAAAAATAAAAGAAAGTAAAATTTTTTTTTATCTTTTATTTATCTCAAACCAAATATATTATAAGCCTCATGGGCATCCAAAAGATAAAAAAAAGCCTTCTCATAAAGAAACTATTGGGAATATAGGCCCAACATTCTTCCTGGATCATATACAACGAGCCCAGGGGTTCATCTTTAAGCCCACAATGAAGACGCATTTGGGTACTAATTCAGACATACGTTGGTGCATATGAAGGGATTAATCAGAGACATATACCTGTAACTTTATGTCAACACTATTTCCAATCAAGGTATTAATTTCACTACTCTTCTTTCTCTACAATTATTCTTAAGAGCTTCTCTTTCTGCAATTACTCTTGAGAGTTTCTTTTTCTAAAATATTAAAAATTGCTAACTTGAACGTCAAAGTGTTTTTCTCAAAGAAACATTTTCAAGATTTTCAAGTGTTGAAGTAGTTGAAGATTTCTACAGTGTAAGTTCTACGGTGTAGGTTTGTGAAGCTACTTAAACAAAAACAAAATCATTACACGGAGCTTGATGGTATATTATTGAGCTCAGTATCAAGCTCAAGCTCGTGTTTGTTTGTTACTTGAGCTCTAATAGAACAGCTTGCGGTTAACTCAAGAGCTACTCGACTCATTTAGTGCTTTAGTCTTCAATAGAGCAACTTTCAATAGAGCAAGGAGTAAATAGAATCCACTCGTATTTGGTTTCACCGCCAGAGAATTACAGCATGAGATTAGATACCAATTGACTTGAGTTGCTTCATAGGAAAACATTGGCCTAGCTTTAGTACAACTTCAACTTCCACAGCTTAATTCCTGTTGATCAGATAAGATACGATTGGGTCATGCTTGGTTGCATCGAGGAATCCACATGTGAGAGCACAAACAAGTGAAATGAATGGAAGCAGGAGTCGAGGACAACAGGTTAGAGGAAAGATTTTAGCCCATTAATATTTGTAGTCCTTGTTATGATTGCTTTTGGGTCATATTAATCTAAACACACGAATGGATCGTCAGAACTTTATCATCTAATGGCATTTCAATCAAACAAAAGCAATAGTACCAAGCTCCTCTCTAAGTCTTATCACATCTTCAGGACAAAAATGAGTAAAACCTACGGAAACGCAATAAAGAGGGCCAGAATTTGGGTAAGAAGTTTCTAATTAGTTGGTACAAAACAAAATGATCAATGGCTCCTCTCTGAGCCTGTTCTCAAGGAAGGATTACAAAAAGCACAAAAGCATTCCACATCAAGAAATGAAAGATACTCGATCACTATGACCCTATTTTCATGATCAAATTAACGGATAACTAATACAATAATGATCTCATTCTTTTTTCTTATCTTCTTCCACAAAGTGAAGTGCTTCATTATCCTCCCAAATCTCTGACATAGAGCACCTGTATAGTAACTTTAGGAAAACATATTCATTTTAATTGCAAGATGGTAACAATTTTTTTTATCTCCGCTTTTTGATGCGAAAAATAACGCAAGAGTAGCAGGTGA